TTGTCAGTTTTGAGCTGTCATTTGACCAAAGTTTTTTGTTTCTTTTGTTGCTTTGGGGTTAATATTTGTGATGGCTGTGCTGATATTATCTTTTTATTGTTCTCAGTTCTTCTCTGTTAAGCATATGCATAAATGTTTGTGGTATTAGGTCTGTAAGTTTTTTAATAAACTTCTCATTTGTTTCTTAAGGATATTGAGATTGAGCAATAGAATAGATTTGAGAGCAAATAGAAAGTGCAGTGGTGGTGAGAAGTAGCTTAATTAGTTCTTTGTTTAGTGATTTAATTTCGCCGGTTCCATATAATTCTGGTTTTTGAGGATTAGTGGTTGGATTTTATTATCTAGCTAGTTTTTACATGGTTTTTTACCCTGCTTTCCTGCTTTAATGGCTTTTTTTTGTAAATAACATTGAAGTTTGGTGTTATACTTCTTCAAGCAATGATTATGTCAGTGGTTGGTTTTTGACATGAAATTTTGCTGCAGCTTGCTGGATACAATCGTGTGATAGCTTTTGGGTGGTTGTCAGAAAGATGTTCATATTACTATTATCTTAGCCAATTGCTTAGTCGTAAACTTAATGTATTTGATTTCAGAGACAAATTTGCTAACTGCCTTTTATCTCAGCCTTGTTTGTTTCTTTTTTGATTGTGTTTCTGATTCATGACTAAATACTGCAGGGACACGATGGTGAGGGCATATGCACAAGAGCACACCTACAAACACCCATGGGAGCGTGTGACTACTGCTTCCTGGCGCAAATTTGCTGATCCTGAGAACAAGAGCACACTGTCTCACATCCTTGAAGTGGATACTTTGAACCGCAAGCTTGACTCTACTTCAGGAAAGCTTTACACAACACGAGCCATCACCATCCATGCCCCCGGACCTTGGTTTATTCGCAGAATCATTGGTCAAGACATCTGTCATTGTGTTGAATCTACAGTTGTTGATGCCAATTCTCGATCGATGCAACTTGCTACCCGCAATATCAGTCTGCAGAAGTTCATTGAGGTGGAGGAGAAGATCCGCTATGATCCCCATCCACAGAATCCTAATGAATGGACAATTTGCAAACAGGAAACTAGCATTAGAATAAAACCCCTATCATCACTGGCGTCAATGGCGGAGAAGATTGAGCAAAAGTGTGTGGATAAATTTCAACAGAATAGTGCTAAGGGTAGGGAAGTCATGGAGAGAATCTGTAAGTATCTTGAAGCTGAAGCTAGCGGAATCTCAATATGAATAGATTTTTCAGTATTTAAGCCTAGGTGTTGTACCTGTGAGGGTTGAACTAGATGGAACTAGGATTGCAGTGGAAAGCTTTGTAGGACTTGATAGTTGATCTTTACTTAGTTAGACGTAATAATGTTTAATAGAGGAATACTTGCTTGATATGCACCTCATGCAACTTGCCCAGAATGGAATGGCCATGAGGTATTGGATGAGATACATGAAATCCTAGCTGCTTTTGGATGTAGCTTTTGCTATGTTGGAATTCATGGATTTGGTGTCAAGCATGTCATACCAAATTGTCAACACGATGAGAACTTTAATTTAGATTTTAACATGGCAAGCCGGTGTTGCTGCTGCTGCTATTAGATTCAAAAATTCACTGTTGCTGCTTCTGCTATTAGATTCAAAAATTCACTGTCTGATTAGGTCTAAGATTGAAAGACAGGCTTAGGCCAATAGAAGCTCAATAGAAAGCGGATATTTGTACTTGAAACTGGTCAAGATTGCGTTGATTTTATCTCCAAATTTTGTGTGAGACGCTGCATAAAAATAGTCCTCTAGCTGGATGCCGTTTACAGCTTTATGTACCAATGTTTGATTCAATCAGACTACATATTTTTTTCATCCTTATGGGTAATAGGACTCGTGTCTTTTCATCCTTATTGAACTTGAAATGTGCTTCTTTTGCGTCAAATTTTAGTAATGGTCTACTTTCACAAACAAGTTGTGATATTCACTTACCAAGATACATTACATTGGGTAACCAAAATAAGTTACCTGATAGGAATAGGTATGATGGTCTCGAACACTTCCTCCCCTGTACCACTCCATTCCTCCCTTGTATGTTAATGCCCTTTCATTGTCTGTTACAGCTACTTAAATAAAAGCCAAATTCTTCTGTGCAATTAGCAGAATACCATGAAGGCAACCTCAATTATTCTGTATGAATGACCATGAGAAGGGTAAATTAGGCATTAAACTTTAGAGACGTATCATAATCCTTACAATTATTGGTTGCAAGATTGCCCCTCATAGTAGTAGGTAGATAAAGGATTACAACGAAAACCCCATATTAATCTCCAAACTCATATGTTTTGTACAAGGGGAAATTGCCAATTCAGTCTCCAAACTTTTTCACTTATGCTGATTTGGTCCCTAAAAGTTTTATTTCATGAATTTAGTCCTTTAACCAAAATTCTAATGCCAATTTAGGACCTATGTGGTGTCCTGCCACAAACATGTTTTTGATCACCCAAATTAGCGACCATTTAGGGGAATTTTAGGAAGAAGAAAATAAGCTTTGGTATGGAAAACAGTTACATTGACCAAATGAAAACGCAGATAGGGCATTCAAGGGCATTTTCTTCTCTTTTGAAAAGTTTCAAATAAGTCCAAAACAGAAGGGAGTTATGTAGAAATTTTTAAACAAAAAAGGAGATATTATGACAGAACTTCAAACTACAAGGGGTTTTTTTGTATTTTACCCTTATAAACCATAATATAGCTACCGAGTACAAGAATTATATTGGCTGTACTTATTGTTCCCAAACATAATGTCTCATTTTGCTACAGTTTCATATCATTTGCTGAACCATTTATTACTTTTTAGTACTTAATTTCCTTACCATTTGTCTGTTTTTTATTGTCTTAATTTCGTTTTATTCATTTAGACCATTGTGATAGTGCCCCGGGCTTTGGACTTCAAACTTCAAAACTTTTTTTTTAAAGTGAAAGGTCTCGAACACAAAATTTTTCACTTGCATTCCCTCCCTGTGTATCACCAAAACCATTCCTCCTCTTCAATTTCAAAGAAGTTAAGTTCGAATATTCAGCAAAAGATTATTTTCTATCATGGTTCAATGTAATTCTAAAATCCAATAGAAGGGTTCTCACATTTCCTTGTGTCACATTGCATGTGTTCAAGGTACGAGCTCAAATTAAACACCTATTCAAAAATTTTGTTCCCTAAAGCGACTCCATTAGCAAAACATACGTTACACACTAAAATGCTTAGATATATCATTATTCTTTCTTCATAAAACTATAATTGAATCTACTAAATTTTTCTTTTTTTTAGTTTTCTTGTTGAGTTTCCCTTTTTTTTTTGGAAATTGATATTAATCTAACTTCATTCCAAATCAAATTATTTTCAAATTCTCTATGTAACATAATATCTTAAGATTGATATCACACCGATACCCTTAATAATGTTTTAATGGCATGTAAATTTGGAGTCTTAAGATAATATCTTAACAAAAGATACTACTTAACAAAGTCTTAAGATATTATGATGAGAGTATTATTAAAAATATAAAATTAAAACACTAAATCACTAAATTAAATTTACTACTCCCTTCGTCCTATATTGAAAGCATTATATTTTTGAGATGTCTCAAAACATTTGTCATGTTGAAAAAGTTAAACCATTTTTTAGTCTCTCTTTCCAATATAACTCTTCTTTCTAATCATATGCATGTTACCGTTCAAATTTAAATTTTGAATTTGTAGGGATAAAATTGAAAAGAGAAGCACAAACATCACAATCAAACCACTATTTTTAAAAACTTCGATTCCCCAAACATGACTAAATAATTGGGACGGAGAGAGTATTAAATGTTTGCAAAGAAAATTCTCTACTCTTTACGACCAATGATGTTGGAAATCAAGGACTGAATCAAATATTGAAGTTACCTCTATCCATGATTTGGCCGCAGCGCAATCTTTCGGACAAACTTTGGTTGAATCACATTTTTTCTAACAAACGAATACTGGATAATAATTTTTTTTAACAGTAGATCACATTGATCTACCGTTCTTAATAAAATGTCCTCCCTACCTTCGAAATCTATTGATGTTCATAAAATAATTGCGTATGGTTGTTCTTAATAACATTTTATCTAATGAAACCATAGTGTTATTTGTTGATTTTGATAGTATTATTGTTTCCATGCCTACTAATAGTTGCATATGCCGTGGATGCTTCAATCAAAGCCAGTATCATTATCATTTGTACATTTAAGTTTCTCTCCCTTTCTTTTTTTAAAAAAACAATTTTTAAATTTTTTTACCTCTTCTTCTGTAATGAGGAAGAAAGTTTGGTCCACTCGACTACCTTATTTAGTCGTTTGAAAATGCCTTCTCTCTCTCTCTCTCAAATTCATAAACTTTGAATTATTTGTTTTAATTGATTTTGAGTAAACTTGTAATTTTATTTGAGTTTGGATTAATAAAAGGCTAGAGACACGTGACAGCTGTATAAATAAGGGATAGAGGGGACAGAGACTACTTTGGAGATAAGGATTCGAAGCCCCTCATGTCCCACCATCCAAGAAACATATTAACAAATCCTAAAATAATATAACACTTCACATGAACAGTAATTGTGAAATAAAATACTATAACCCTTTCGAACTGAACAGTGACTATGAAAGGAAGTAACACTAATCTTTTCTATTTCATTTTCTCAAACTGGAAGGAAACAAAAGTTGCATCCTCATGTCCCACCATCCAAGAAACATATTAACAAATCCCTAAAAGAATACAAGTCTAAGACTCAAATAAAGCTGAAATGAACAGTAAATGTGGAAGAAAATGTAATGAATATTTTCTTCTCCAGATGCATCTGATACAAAAAACCTTTGGGTCCAGGATGAATTTGCTCTTTGTGAGTTTCGTAAAAGAAAGACATCATGAGGTTGGTCACCAGGAGGAAGAAAGGTCACATTTCCATGAGAACTTAGGAAAAAATGATTCATGATAAATTTACATCACCATGAACTGAAGAACAAAAAAAAATTCATAATAAAAATACTTCACCACTAGCAAATATAATATATACATTCTGGGAAGATATATATACATATATATCTTGTCTTTAGATTCTGTTAGCATTCCTTAATATTAATAATATATAATCACACCTCTACCTTTAACATGGCAATGCTTGGAATACCTCTTCAGTGACAATAATCTTTCGGGGACGTCTAAAGATCCCATGCCAAGAGTCACCTTTTGCAAAGCTTTTGCGTTGCGCAAAAAGTACTCAACGAGCTTAAATTCATATTCCTCCTTGCAGAATCTTCGGATTTCTATTTCCTTGAGATGTTGAATGAAGGAGACTAGAATAACTTGTTGTAACAGGCATTCGAGTTCTTGTAAGTTGCCATCCCAAGCTACCTGTCAATGAAGAGAAAGAAAATGAAAACTGACAAATCTAAATGCAGTGAACTCTATTCCGGAAGCAGTTTGTTTTAACTCACTTCTCCGAGAACAAGCTCTTGAAGGCTAGGGAACATCCGAATAAGCTTGGCAGCATTTTCCAGCAAGACAGGGACCGAACCTCCAATCTAGTCAAATTCTTGAAAATTGGAAATGGACGTTCGCAATAATGGAGAGCCTTCATAAAATCAGACGAATATTAATTAGTAATTGAAAGTATGACGTTCTAATTATGAACTCAAAGCTTTGAAATTTGATTCGGTGCAGTACATAAAATATATACCTTGAGAATATTCTGTTCTAAAGAAAGTGATTTCACACATCCTACCCGATGAAGATGCTCATAAATATCCTGAATACTGTCTTGTTCACCCCAGTGACAGACTCTTATTTTGGCTCCAACAAGACAATTTGGGATTTGTATAAAGCTTTCCCCAAGACGGTCGACTGTGTAAGCCAAATACTTGAGATTTGGGGCAACAAGAATAATTTTACGTTTTCTTGCACAAATATCCGAGTACTCAAAACTTTCGAGGATTTTACACTCCACAAGAACAGTACACTCACTGGCCCAACACTCCAGTTTTAGTTTTATCAAGGAAGAGCTAGATATTATAATACCTCTCTGCTGCTGTCCTGTTGTGCTATGGCTAAAACCTGCTAAGCTTAAATCCAATTCTTGGAGCACAGGACACCCTTGAATAAGCCACTGAATAGAATCTTCATTTACCAATATCAATGCGCTCAAGTGCAATGACTTGAGATTTGGTAACCAAACTGAATCTGGTGAGACATTTAAATTCCCTCCAGGCCAGCAGTCTAGTTCCAGAGAAACTAACGTTTTGCACGATAACATTCCTGCCACAGATACTTGTTCGATAGAATGAGCCCTGGACAAAGCATTACTATCCACTGAAATTTCAATTTCTTGGGCTTTACACAAAAGTGCAGCGGATATCAGAGATTGAATTGCTGCCTGATACGCTCGAGGTACCTGACGAAGAGAGAGTTTAAACTTTCGAATCGGGGCTCCATTTCTTAGCATAACAAGTCTGTAGCCAAAATTCATGAAAGCGTACAAGCGCTGATAAGGAGGATGATCAATGACAATCCCATTATTTTGAGAAGGATCCAAAGATTGTGAATCGAAAGACATGTCGAGATCGATATCAGGAGTTGAAGCGAAGAGGAATCTCCATCGGGTGGAAAGAACTGAGGTTTTGCCAGCTTTTTTCGAGCCCAGAAATGACAGAACGTGAAGGAGAATTTCGTCAGGAAGGGCACTGATCCTATCAACTCCATCAACATGATCAGCATCGTGTTGGGGTGTGATTTTAGCTACCTTTTGCTCCGGATCCATTAACTTACCAAGGCTATAAGAATTACTGCATCTTTCTGAAGAAATTTCAATACAATTCTTTTAAAGCCTGGGCTTGAAGGGTTTAGGTGATTTTGTTGGAAAAAGAAACCTACTCCTCTCGAAGTCATAACCTTGTTGCCTCTCTCATTCGAGGCCTTCTGCCTTTAGGACCATTTTTTTTTAAAACATGTAAGGTAAATGTCGGTTGGCTTGTCTTGCACCCGTATGCAATATAGACCCAAATACAATGAATGTAGACATTAAACTAACAAGAAAATTGCTCGTTCATCATATTTTATCAAATGAAATTTTTATGCTTCATTTTAAAATATTAATTTTATGTACCTTATAAATTTAAATTAACAAAATTTAGTCACGACCTAAATCTCCAACCACTTTTTAACTTAAAATCACTGTATGACTCATATACAATCATTTTTTACGTATAAAAAGTTCAAATTTCACTTTTTTAGTGGCAAAAATAAATATATATTAGGTAAATCCCACTTTTTTGGAAAAAGATTGAATATGATTCATGTTAGATCCTGTTTTTAGGTGCAAAAATAAATATAGATCGGGTTATTTGTTTAGCTATAAATGGAATCTAATATTTTTGTCCCTAAAACAATAATCATGTGTAGATTGTGTGACGGATTCAAGATAAAAAGTGGTCAAAAATCTATCTTAGATCAAATTTTGCCGATTTGATTTTGTAAAGGACGTAATGATACCATTTTAAAAGAGAAGGATGCAAAATTTCATTTGACGAAATGTGAGAGACATTTCGAACTATTTTTCCAAACTAATAAGCAACAAATACTAAAACAACAAATTATAAAAGACACGGCAATCTTTGCCACTTGTTAAAATTTGTGCACACAATTCAGTCCCAACTCCCAACCATTTAATTGTAAAGTAATCCATCTCTTTCCATAAGTTATTCTCCTTAGGATACGACCCAACTTATATCCTTACTCCTTAGTTTTAGCCTTAACCTAACTTAGTTTTAGTTTTGTTATTATCTACCAAAACTAGTAGATTTTTTCGATGTGTCAATGTAAGGAATATTTTGCACTAATAGGTAAAAATTTTAAAAAGATCATATATTTAATATGTGTCCATCTAAGGGTGCTCAGTGTAGCGAAAGTTTAATTTACCTAGTAATACTGTGAAGTATTCATGAAATTCAGCAAAAAAAATAAAATAAAATTGGCCTACATGAATGATATGTGATGATCAATATTTGATTGGAAATTTGGAACAAATCAGTAACCATTCCCAAAGTAAGAAAAAGTTTATATGATTATTTGTATTCATAGTTCAGCATAAAGCACAAACTAAGAAATTAAAAGGGAAATGATTTCAGGACTCCTCAAAAAACCTCAGGCATCCCTTTCCTTCTTTTTCATTAGATGAAATTTAAGGAGTGTTTGAGGTTTTTTCAGGAGTGTTAATATCATTTTTCAATTAAAATATGTAGAAATAACTTATAGCCAACAAAGAGAAACATTCCTTTTTGTTTTTATCAGAGCTGTTTGTACCAAAACCTTGCAATCCCCAAAACATCATCTAAATGACAATATTCCAAACTTTTGGGCGCCCTTTGGCACAAATTGATAGAAAGAGTAATCCGAATAATGTACTACTGATACTAGTGATTAGTGGAATTTTTTATGCCAAATGAGTCTATTACTCAGGGAAAAACTTTAGAAGTCCAGAATAACTTAAAAGCTTTAAGCAATAACAGGGGCAGCGTAAAAACTTAAATAACCTATGATTTCGAGAGCAATTGCTAACTGTGGTGGTGAATGGAGTTGAATCAATCCAAACATCTTTTTCTTATAAAAAAATATACAATAACTAGATGTTTTAGGCAACATGACTTGGAAAAAAAGAAATCACTGGTACGTAAAAGAAAAGAAAAGATAAAATATAATTTATAAAACAAAAAAACGACCGTACTCCATCACCCAAAACCAGCCATGTCGGCGTTGAAGGAGGTTCTGACTCATTGGCCAGTGGCAGCAACCATCCGCTTAACCCTTCCAGCCAGGGGAGCAAAGCCGGGAGACAAGCTGGTGTCCACAGTCCTGGGTTTTTACAAGATCAACGTGATGGCCTTCAAGGACAGGACCTTTGAGTTCATCATAAAGCCGCCGTCCGTGACTTGGTAGTCAAGTGATAGCCTTCGCCATAACCTTGAAGCACGTTTACAATATTGCCAAGGTGAAGCAGCATGACCCCTATTGCCAGTATATGCCATTGGAATCAATTTGTAAGTCTATCATTGGAACGGCTAAGTCCATGGGGATTCAGGTTCAGACGGAGCTTGATTAGACTTGCCACTACTCCTATCTACTTGCTTATAAACTTGTACTTCCTCGTTGTCTCGTTTCAGCTTGCTTGTAATCTCTTCTCTCTTCTTTTTGTTTTTCTTCTTCTTTGTTGTCCTTTTTAGTAGGGAGTAAATGTTTCTTTTGAGGTTTGTTTGGGAGTTTCAGAAGAAAGTCAGATGAATTTTGTTCAGAGTACTGTTGGGCTCAAATTAAAGTACTAGTCGTCTTGGAGGGATTGGCTGTTGATTTTACAAATGTTGCATGATGCTTTTAGTATCTTGAAATGGAAAAGTGTGATCAGTCTCCAGTATATCTATTGCAGAGTTTTGGCAGTGGTATTCAACGCAATTGCATGCTTGGAACTTTGAGGAATAGAGGTGAATATGCACTCCTATATGCACGTAAAGGGGGGTTATTTATTTCCAAATTGCATCCGCAAAAACCAAGAAGACAATAAAAGATCAGTGTTGGATGTGTGTTTCACCAATCAATGCATTTCGGTATTGTATGCCTTTGGATTTCTCTGCATTCTATGTGTGAGCAAGTCCACTTAATAACAGAGGTGATTTTCCGTCATTAGTATAGTTTTCTTTGTTAAGCAAATCGTGTCGAACGACTTCCAATTAGTGTATTAATAATATTGACTTCTGAAAAAAAAAAAAAGAAACATATGTGGATCACTCTTGTGTCTGATATATGTTTGAGATTTGGAGAATTGAAGAGAATATTAATGACTGACGAATTAAATCCAAAATTCATAGTCTATAGTCTTTGAGATTGTTGGACTCCACAACAACACTAGTGGCAATATATTTCCAATAAGTTTCACAGTCAGAATTTTACATTCGAATACTTCTATAGATCATCAATGTGGGAATTTCCCAAGTGCAATCCAGCTCTAGTTCTTGAAGCAAAAGGATTTCCATGAATAAGCTTCTGAATGGAATTCCAATCGACCAATGTGGAATTCAGCTTTTCCACTTTTCGAAACAATGAAATTGGGGTTTTAGGGAAAGATGGACAAAAAATGGTGCTTTACCACAGCTTTGGGTAGTTTCTATTTTTCTATAGAACAAAAGGGCCTCGATTTTGCACAAATGGGCACCAAATTTTACTAAGTTTCCATAATAAGATGGTAATGTCTAAAAAATGTTAACGTGTAGCTCAACTGGATTGAAAATTATTTCAAAAAAAAATTGTTGGAATAGTATTATAACACTTTTTGTTACATGATAATGTAAGATAAAAATGTAATTGAAAAAATGCGATTGAAAAATATTTTTGTTGAATAATAAGAAATTTTTTTTAGAATAATGGTCAATCAAAACAAACCAACTCCTTTTTTCCTTTTGCCTCATCAAAACAAAAAGGAAAAGGAAAAGCATGCTAAGCTATGTAATAAGATATACAATAAGGAAAAAATTAAATGATATATGCAAAGATATTAGCAGTTTTTAGGCCACAAATCACTAAAGAAATTCTTTAGTGATTCTTATTTTTCTTTTTTCGTGTCAACGAGAGATATTAAAGCCGAAACTTCCTATTTACAATCTCTCTCACTTTACCATCCAACCCAATCCTTCCCCCTATTTAGTGATTCTTTCACTTGCATTTTTAGTAATTCTTTTTCAGATATAAAAAATTCAAGACACCTCACATCTATGTAGAAACTTTTAGACATTGATTGTGTCTTCAATTATTTTTGCAATAAAAAAGTAGGGGTATAAATTATTTATTACACATTGTAATTTATTTTTCAGTAATAATAGTGTATAATAATGTTTTGGTACGATAAGAAATCAAATAGCTTAACTTGGTTGGCCCGAACTCAACTCGAGCTTAGTGTGGATCAAGTTCGAATTGAATTTTGACCAAGTTGACTTGTGAGCGCTCATGAGTCAGCTTTTTAAATTTTTTTTATTTTTATTTATTTACTTTTTTATAAGTGAGATGTTTTGAACCCAGAACTTTCTACTTACGATTTCTCTCAACTTACCACCCAATCCAACCCTCTTCTTCATGAGTCAATTTGATTCATTTGCAACTTTTTTTTTCCAATTCGTATTTTTTTGCTTAAAATTCTATTATTTGGATGGTGTCGCTTTTACCAAACTATTACTATAGCACCTTTTCGATAATTTTGGCTCTTTACCATTAATTTTTTCATTAATTATTGACTTAAATATATTTTTTATACAAGATTTCAAATCCCCATCTTTCATTTTTTTTTTTTAATGAAATAGTTTTAAATTCGTTTAAACTACTGCTTGATTTATGATTCTTTTGTTTTCTCAAAAGTTAATAAAAGCATAAGATTCATATGCCATCGACGAAAAATGTCTCTTTTCATGTTTAGCTAATAGTTGCAGAACTCTATTGTGATAAGCAACCGTAAAATTGCAGAGATAGGCTGGGTTGGGTAATATGGGGAGAGGGAGTGTATTGAGTTTTTGGTATGTGAAAAAGTCCAAAATTAATAGGTAATTGTCTAGGTCCGTTAAGGAGTTGTCCTACCTATTTATAGGCCAAATTAGGTTTATTCCAACCCCAGAAAAAGTGGGGAAAAATACAGAAAATTCTGCAGAGAAAAACGATGTCTGATTGGCCTGAAATTTTAACTAAAGGTAGAGGACATCAAGTTCTATGTTCTGAACGGTGGAGATC